AGCTGACTGCATTTCTGCAGTTCGGCGGTTCTAATCTCACCGGCTCAGGGTTGACTCAGCCTTCCATCCTTCCGAGGTGGGTAAAATGAGGATTGTTGTTGGGGGCGATATGCTGACTCTGTAAACCGCTTAGAGAGGGCTGAAAGCCCTATGAAGCGGTATATAAGTCGAACTGCTATTGCTATTCAGCTGACTGCAGTTCTGCAGTTCGGCTGTTCAAATCTCACCGGCTCAGGGTTGACTCAGCCTTCCATCCTTCCGAGGTGGGTGAAATGAGGATTGTTGTTGGGGGCGATATGCTGACTCTGTAAACCGCTTAGAGAGGGCTGAAAGCCCTATGAAGCGGTATATAAGTCGAACTGCTATTGCTATCTCCCAATTTCTTTTGGGAGGGGAGACCTCATCTGCAAAGCTCCTTCGGGCCTTCAGCCACCCCCCCCCCCAAGGGCCTGCGGTCTGTCGGGCAAAGGGCGGGGAGCAGCCCCCTCCCCACCGGAGCCTGGACCGAGGGCGCAACCCGATCGCCCAGCCTGGGAGGCTGAGAACGGGCTCGGCGCCTGCGCAGAAACACGGGGGGGGGGGACGCCGCCACTTTCGGTTTCGTTTCCCGGCTCGGAGGCCAGGCGGGAGGAGGTGATGCTGTCCCGCCCCGTGATGAGAGGCCCCTCGGGAAGATGCCCCCGCGTGGAGCCCTCAGCCGCCCCTCCTGCCCGCTGCTCTCCTCCGCGCGGATCCCGGGGATGTGTGTGTTCCGGCGGGCCTATCCACGCCACGCGGCTGGGGGAAGCCGTCTGCGCTCCAGGCTTCGGGACAGCAGAAGCCCTTGCTGTGCCCACGCGTGGGCTTTCCCTCCCTCCCGCCGGAAAGAAGACCCCCGTTCGGGGGGAGCTGCCATTGAGTCCCTTGGGGGCCCCTGATGTTCCCAGGGGGTCTAAAGAGTTAGGATGGCGGCCAAAGTCCCCGTAGAGCGAAGGACGTTCCTCCCGAGTGGGGACGAGGGTCAGTTCAGGCACGGAGCGTGGAGGAGCCTCCCTCGCAGGACTGGCGTGGGAAGGGGGCGCGCCTCCCAGGGACCTTGAACCTGCCCGCCTGGGACACGCACACACCGTAAAACTGGCCGGGGGAGACTCGTTCTCAAGTCTCCTCTCGCCTGCCTTTGCTTGGGGAGCCCACGCGAGTTCCTCGTGTTGCAGAGCCGCCAGTTCCCACCCTCTGTCTGAGGCTCCGGAGCAGGGGCCCTTTGGTGGTGGACTGCTCCTGCGAGTGGAGGCTCCGCACCACGGGGCGGGGCTTAGAGGCTGGGCTGGCTGCCACAGCTTAAGAGGAAGAACTCGGGGTGTGGGATGATGGGGCCCTGCAAGGCCAAGGGAGTGGCCGGGGACCCTGCCTCTTTCGACGGCTGCGGAGAGACGGTGTTGGCTCCCCCCTTCCTGGGGAGCCCAGGCCCTTCTTCACATTGGAAGGCGCCCCCCCTCCACAAAGGCCGCGATGCCCCGAATGAGCAAGGGAACCCCTCAACCTACTTCTGATGGTGCAACAGAGCCGAACCGGGGGGGGGGCAATATCAGCCCCCCCAGGAGCCCCCCCCCGTCTGCAGGGCGGCTGCGTCGATGCCTTGACATGAAAGAGTGGCCAAGTGTTGGGGGGGGGGGATTAAAGAGATCTTGGGGCTTCCCAATTGCGGCGGACGTTCTCTTCCACAACCACCAGAGGGCAGGATTCCTTCCACCATCGTCGGCTCAGCGGGTCTCCCTGGCCCCCTCCCCCTTTCCTGGCTGCGCTGGAGACCAGAGAAGGGCCACCCGACCCCACATATGGGGGGGGCGAGGGTCCCGCTTTCTCTTCTGCCATGTTGGTCACCGTATTGGCGGAGAGGCGCGGGGCCTGGGCAGCCCTTGAGCTGGAGGAGGGGGCGAGGGTTGGACTGGATGGCCTCCGGGGTGCCCGGGAACGTTTGCGACTCTGAGCCAAGGGCGTCGCCATTAAACTCTTTCCTGGAGCCGAGGAAGCCGCACTTGCCCCAAAGGGAGAGCCTCCAAGGGGCGGCCCCAAGCGGGAGGCTGGGCAGCAGCGCAGCCCCCGGTTCTTCTCCCGGCAGGGACTGGCCTGGAGAGGGGATGCCGAAGGAAGCGAATCCGCCCGGGGCAGCCTCCTCCCAGGCTCCTGCAGACGGAAGACCCCCGGAGAGCAGCGCACGAGCCTGCCACCCCCCTCCCCACCCAAAGGCTCTAAGGGGGGGGGGGCTGAGCAGCCAGAGCCCTTCCGCAGGTGGGTGTCCCGCCTTCTGGGCCTCAGGACGATGGGAAGGGTTGTCCAAGGCCAGCAGGGGGCGCCTTCCGCCGCGGCCCCGGCACAGCGACCTCCCTCCGACGGGGCTCACAGGCCACCCCGTTGCCGCCGCCTCCCGGAAGGCCCCGGCTGATTCCTGCCCGCCCCTCCCGGATCAGATGGGCGAGCGGCCCGAGGATCCCAAGCCAGCCCCGCCCGCAACGCCCCTAGAGAAGGGGAGGGGGCTGCCTTCCACAGGGGTCACCCGAAGGGACACCCGCCCACCAGTTGGGGGCAGGCCTGGGGGGCCCAGGGGCTTCGGGGAGGAGCTCTGGGAGGGGGTCTCTACGGAAGCCGCTACTGCATGGGACCCTCCCCCCCCCCTCGCAAGGGCATCGGCGCCGTCGTTTTATTTCATTCCTTTTTCTTCGGGGCGCATCGAAAGGAAAAGCGCTCCAGAGGCTCCCATAGAAGAGAATATTCGCAGGCGAGGGTTGAAGTCCGAGGTCCCTGGTGTGCTGAGGATGTTGCCTAGTTTGGTAATAAAACGTCTGCAAAGAAAACATCCAGCTCAGAGAACCCCCCCAACGCTACAGGTTGCAAAGCCCCCCCCCCCCCCCCAAGATCTGTGAATGGAAGAGGAATAAGGGGGAGGATTCTTTACGGCCGAGTGTGGTTGGGCACAGAAGGGATTTGCATCTTCGGTGCAGATGCAAGAAACATTAGTTAAGAATCAGGAGGGATAAGGCTGAATGATAGTCATTCAACCCTGACTTTGTAGCAGCAGTGAGCCAAAAACCGGGGGGAAACCTCACATCTTCGCAGCTGAAAAAATCTCTTTGACTTTTAATAATATTTATTAGTTGGAACAAAATCCCAACCCTCTGGGTATTTTTTGACCGTGTGTATTGCTCAGTATGTGAAATTTCCATTCTTGCAAGCATTAAAAACTATGTAGAAACAAACTGGCCCATTATTTGTTTTTTGTTTTCGTTTTAGGCAATAAAGAGGTTTCAAACATTTTGACTCCGTTTGTTATCAATAAACCTTCCCCCCTCTTTTGCAATAATCGTCTTTGCCAAGTTACAGGTTTGCTGAAGTCAAAGTTCTTAATAACTTCAGCCCCCCCAAAGCCTCTGGGGGGGAGGAGCACTTACTTCCAGGGGAGGGGGAGGCCCTGAGGCCCAGTGGGAGGGGCTCTTTCCCCAGGGGGGGGGCTCTGGACATCCAGAGGGGCCTCCTCCTCCTCCTCCCCCCCCCCATGTTGGCCCCATCATCAGCCTTTGGGCTCTCCGGGGTTTCTGGGTGCGAATTAGGTGCATTTTATGCAGGGGACGCTTTAACTGCTGCACCGTTTTGAGAGCCGTGAAATGCCAACGTTTCTTCCCTGCCCTGAGCTGCTTCTGCCGGCGACATTCCCGGAGTCTGGATCCAGAGGCCCCTCCCCCAAAGAGGTGGGGGGGGCTCTGAGGGCCTCCTCCAGGCAGGCCCCGCCCCCTGCTGGCATCTGGAAGGACCCCCCCACTGCCTGCCCAAGGCTGGCCTCCACCCACCCACCCCTCAACCGGGGCCCCAGTGGGGTGCTGGGGAGTTTCCTGGGGAAAGAGACGGGTGACAAACTTCCCGGAACTTCTGGGAAAGGGATGGGAGGGATGGGAAGGAGGGAGGGAGGGGCGGCTGGAGCCCCAGCTGGGCTGGGTCTTCCCAAGAAAAGGCATCCAAGGAGTTTATCTGGAAGTGACAGTTTCCGCCCCGTCTCTTTCTGCAGAAGCAGAGAGTTCCTGCTGGCCAGAGAAGCCCCAGAGGAGGAGGATGAGGAGGAGATGCCCCAGGTATTTCTCCCGAAAGAGTTTCTTTTGCTCTTGGCAACCCATCTGTGTGAATCTGTCTTTGCCTTCATGGCATTTGTCCCCCTCCTGGTTGGAAGGTTCCCTCCCTTCGGCCTCAGTCAAACTTCCTCAGTCCTGACATTCCCAGGGAGTTTCGTGCGCACAACGGCTGTGTCTCACTTTCACAAGGCAGCTAAAAACACACACACAGGGCCCCCGGTTGGCGGGTAATTCGATCCCTTCCCACTTTCCGATCGTTTCCAATTGGGCGGAGAAGAAAAGGGCCCCTTTCCTTCTCGGCCCCTCCCTCCACACACAGCCAGGCTCCACCCTACCTGTCTCCAGGTGTCAGGAAGCAAGAATCACGGCTCCTCTCCTCTCCGGCGGAAAGGTATTCCTGTGCCCCGAAAGGCCCCCAGCTCAGTGGGAAGGGGGAGCAGGGGGACTTCCCTCCAGCCCACTTCAGATACTCCTGCCCCCCTCCTCCTCTTCCAGTGGGGAGTGGGCACGCTCTGGGCACACCTGGTGGCCCACAGGTGCCACAAGGGCGCCACCAGGGAGAAACGTGGCCAGCCTCCACTCCTGTAGCATCTCGGCAGCTCCGTCTGCCTCAAGGCAGGCCTTCCTGCTTCCATCAGGTGGCCTCTCTGCCACGGCCACCGGGAGACTCCCTTTCCTGGGAAACCTTGAGGGGCCCCACCTGGGCAGAGGCAGAGGCCAGGGGCAGGAGGCCTCGGGCCCTGAAGGCTGGGACCATGGAGAGGAACCCCCCCCCCCGTCTCCTTGTCCTGCTGGGGACCCTCCAGAAGGACCTGCGGGACCTGCCTGCCCTCCCCTCCAGCCCTGCCCAGGGCTGCTTCTGGGGTGGCCTGGATGGGGGGTGGGGGCTGGGAATGCAGGCCAAGCCAGGGACCTTTGCCAAGAGGGTGGTGCCAAGCCTCTCCTCCGCACCCAGGCAAGTCCCAAGGAAGGCAGGCCCAGATCCGTCTGCGGGAGCAGCCCGTGAAAAGCCCAGCGGCTCCCTGCCAGCTGTTCCCCAGGCGCCCCCAGTGCCAGGCCACGAAAGGCTGGGCGGGGCCCTCCTGGGCAACCCAGCTCAACACGGAAGGAGGCCTGATGCCCTTTGAATTGTTTTTATTTTTCCTTTTTTTTTTGTTGGATGAGGGACCTTCATCCCACAGATGTTGCTTCCTTCCCCCATTGGGGGGGGGAGAGACCCTTCCTGCTCCCGGCCCCTCCTGAGTGCCTTGTGGGCGGAGGGCACAGGGACTGGGTGGGGGAGGCACTTTGGAAAGAGGAGGAGAGGCGGCCATCGGAGGCTGTTTTGGGGGCTTCTCTGCTGAGACAAGCAGCCTCCCCCCCCAAGGGGAAATACCCACAAGCCCCTGCGGCACCTGTAGGAGGAGGAGGAGGAGGAGGAGGAAAAGGGGTGTGTTCCCCGCTTCAGCCAGGGCCTGTGAGGATTCCCCAGGGCCAACTCCCTGCAGGGCAAGAGCGACACTGATATCAAAGAAATGGTGGGACAGAATCATTAAAAAAGGGAGGGTCAGAAGGAAATGTGGATGGCAAAAGTTCAAATATTTTTTACTTATTTTAAATAACTAAATAGAATTGTTGAACTGTCCCACAACGGGTTGACTCCCAGTGAGTTTCCCTTGGTGAGTTGTTCTGTGCCAAGTTGCCCCATTCGCCTTCAGGAATGCCCAGGGCCCAACCCACCCCGACGGGCACAGCCTGCCGCCCGCAGAAGGCGGAGACTCAGACCGAGGACCCTGAGCAGCCGCCTGGCTGGGCCTGCAGAGCTGCTGCCGGCGTCTTGCTGAACCCGTTCCCGGCATCCACGCCCTGCAACCTGCCAGCCAGATGCCCGGCATCTTTAACTCCTTCAGGACTGGCCACAATGGGGTGCAGCAACCCAGGCCTGGTCCCCCACAGGTCCCCGGGTCCTGCCCGACTGCCAGCCACGGAGTCCCCTGGGCTTGTGGATGTAGAGCATGTGGTGGAAGGCGCCCCAGGAGAGCCAGGATTCAGGGCAAGCAGGCAGGATCTGGGGGCCGAAGGAGCTTCATGGTGCTGGTTAACAAGGGGGGGCAAATCTCCCCTGAAGGGGCCGAGCTGGGTGGGAAGGCCCCACTTGGGCTAGCCGAGGCCCAGGCAAGGACGCCCAGCCGGTCTGGGTGGAACCGAGAGAGGAGGAGGAGGAGGGACAGAGGTCCCTGGTTGGGTCCCTGGACCGGACCTAATCTCCAGGCTTCCTTTCGCCAGGTGAGGATCCCTGATTCAGTTTCTCGGCCGGACCGAAAGCTGCTCTGCCGTGAAGGAAAGACCGTCACGGAGCCCCTCCTCCATCCGAGTCCCTTCCGCCACAGAATTCCAAGGGTACCTGCTACTTCCCAACGTTTGGGAATGCCTGCAAAGGCTCCCCCTGGACCTCCCCTCTCTCCTGGCCTCCGGCCGGCCTTGGTGGACCCAGCGGAGGGAGCCTTTCTCCAGGGGCCTCAGAGGCTCCCAGGGGACCAACTGCCCCCACCTCCCTGGCGCCTCTTCCAAGACCACCCTGGGTCCTCCCTTGGGGGATTCTGCTTCTTAGCCTGGCCTCGTCTTCCGCTTTGGCCCTTTCCCTGAGTGGCTCCCCTCCCGTCATTGTCCAGGACCCCCGTCCATCAGATGAGGAGCCAGAGAAGCAGCCTCCGTCCTCCATCCCATGAGGGGAGTTCTAACACGGCAGGGTGGTGGGGTCCCTTCATTCCTTCAAGGGGGCGATGCTGGGGGATTCTGACGGCCCCCAGGTGGTGGGAGGGGAAAGCAGGGCCTGGTGGGGAAGCTCTCCTAGCTGGAACATTGTGGACGCTGCCTGCCTGGTGGGGAACATTGGTGGGTGTTCAGAGCAGGAGCTCCGTAGTCGGCATGCAGCTCACCCACAGCTGGGCCGAACCGAGCGAGTGTCGCCTCCTCGTACAGCAAGATCAGTTAGCCCAGCAAACGCCACTGCGTCGCTCCTGCTTTTGGCGGAAGGAGGGAACAAAGGAGGGAGGAAAGAAGGAGGCAGCTGCCACATTATTGCCAAAGTGGCGACCACTCCCTCGGCCAGTCTTGCGAGGTGCTGCTCACTGGGAAGGGCGTGGAGGCTGCCGGGGAGGCTGGTTCATCCCATCCACGGCTGCAGTGGGACGCGGGGCCTCCTCCGTAAAGTGCGGAAGGCAAAACGGGCTCGGCCGCCCTTCCTTCTCTGCCAGGGCTGACGTCTCCTTCACTCTTGCAGGCCCTCCCGGAGCCACTGCTGCCATCCATGACTGCTGTACCACCCTGCCGGAAGCGATGCCCGTGCCGTTCGGCCCAGCTATTGGTCGGACTGCTGTGCAGCCTGGCTATCCTCTTGGTTCTCAGCTTCCTGGCCACCAGCCGCCAGGAGGAGCTGCTCTCACGCGCGCTGCCCGGGACGGGGGAGCGATACATAGAACCCCTGCTCCTGCCGCCACCCAACGCCTTCCCACTGTCCCCATCGCCCTGTGCCCTGACTGCCCCCTGGCTACTGGTGCTAGTGGCCAGCGCAACTGGGCATGCGGCCCGGCGGGCGGCGGTACGACGCAGCTGGGGGGGTACAAGGCTGGCAGGGGGGCACAACATGCGCACAGTCTTCATACTGGGGCTGCCTGGGGATGTGGCGCAACAGGCAGCACTGGAGCGTGAGTCGGCTGAGCACGGTGACCTGTTGCAGGCGCGTTTCATCGACACCTACGCAAACCTAACCCTGAAGACGCTGGCGATGTTGGGCTGGGCCACCACCCGCTGCCCCACTGCCCGCTTCCTGCTCAAGGCTGACGATGATGTCATCCTCAACCTACCTGCCCTGGCACGATACCTGGAGCGGCTGGCCGGCCCACCCGCTGTCTATCTGGGCCAGGTGTACTCACACGTGAAACCCATCCGCAACCCACACAGCCGGCACTACCTGCCCACCTCACTCTATCCGGAACCCACCTTCCCGCCCTACTGCAGCGGCACCGCCTACGTTCTCTCTGCCTCTGCCGCTGCCGCTGTCCTGCTTGCTGCCCGCCAGCTGCCGCTGCTGCCCATAGAGGATGTGTTTGTGGCACTATGTACCCGCCACGCTGGCATTGCCCCGCGTCACTTGGACTATCTGGCCGGGGCTACCCACTACCCGTCTGATGCCTGCTGCTACCGTGAGGTGCTCTTCAGTGTGCACGAGGTGCCGCCTGAGGAAATGCTGTCCATGTGGGAGGCAGGCGAGCACCCGTGCACCGCCTGGCAGCGCTTCCTGGGCCTGATCCGCTGCAAGGTACTGGCCTGGCTGGCCGCGAAGGACGCCCCGTGACCGATTTCCTGCTCATCCCCCAAGGACCATGGGAGAAACAGGCCTAGAGCCCCCCACCCGGGACCCTCCGTCTGGCCATGGACGAGCAAAGGAACTGATTGGCCGGTGGAAGAACCACCAGGAGCTCCGCCCGCCTGGATGCTGAGCTTCCCTCTTGGGAGTTCAGGCCGAGGCTCTTCCAGCGGTGGGAGTGCCAGGCTGCCCTCCTTGATTCTCTGGCCGACGTGGGCCTTGGAGCTGAAAAACCGAAGGAAGGATGAAGGGGCCCGCCTGGTCAGTATGTTTTTAGGGGTGGGGTCATTCCTCCCTGATTGGGGTGCCATCCTCCCTTGGGCACCGGGAGGTCAAAGTGGGCTTTTCACAGCCTTGGCAGCAACACGGTAGATGTTGATCTCCTGGAAAGGTGGGTTTGAGACTTTGCTACTTGTCAGCACCTCTCCATTTATTAATTAGGAAAGAAAGACCACGAAACTCCATGCGTGGAAATCAAGTGTACTTTTACTAATTAAGAATGGTTAAAAGGCAAAGCGTAGCAAAATCTGATTAATTAGGCGCGAAAGCAATTGATATATAGAATACCCCATTCCCCACCCCTTGGCATCACAGTTACAGTCCAATCATAAGTCTTCCAAGTGTCAGGTGTGAG